CCTCTCTACTTGGCAGTATAGATAGAGAAATAAAAGTGGTAGGAATGGGGCTATTTGTAAGGGTGCGGGACAGGGGTGATCTAAAATTGGTCAGCTTTATTTCCGTTGCTTCCTGATCTTCCTTTCAACTGGATCCACCACGTTTCTGTGTAGAATGGAGATGCGAAGTTCCGGCGGTCTTTCTTGAGCGTGCCTTAGTGTGCGGTGTCTCGAGAATGGGTTCTCTGGGTAGCTCTGTGGGTTCCGCAAAGCTCTTAAGTGTTCCTCCATTCTCTTGTGAAGTGGCCTCGATGTTTCTCCTATGTAAAACTCGTGACATGAAAGGCACACTACTTTGTACACCACACATTTTTCTTGACACACCTTATGTTCTCCACAAATCACACAGTTAGCTCTTTCACATCGACTCTCATATGGACGCGATGATGTTAAAAGTCGTCGTAAATTGAGAGGTGGTCGAAATACCAGGCTTATAGGAAGCCGTGATCGTTTCACGACGCGATTAACATCAATTGCGAACGAGTCGCTGATGAAAGGTAACACAAGTGGAGTACCATAAGGTGATCGGTAAGGCCTCCAGCAGCTGCCGATTTCTATATCCGTTTTGCCGCAAGATGTTCTTCACTTCTCTCTCCATTTGTTCGTGATTCGTGGAGGTCAGCTCGTGTGATGTCTTAACCATATGGCGGACTACGTTCACTTTCATGTAAAGAGGATGGCAACTCCTGGCGTGAATGAGGAAACGCGAGGAAACCATCGGGGAAGGGCGTTCGGCTGTCAACTTTATTGACTGGCACATTCCATTGAGCTTTCCAAATGTCTGTCGTAATGCAGTCCGTGATCTACCGACAATGAAAATGTCGTCGATATATCGTCCGAAGTAAAGAACTCCAGACGCCAAGGGCTGCTCTTTCAAGGCTATCCATAAATATAATCGCAAGTAATGGTGCCAATCGGCTCCCCATAGCGAGTCCCCTCGTCTGCTTATAATAGGTGTTTCTGAAGCGGAATATGTTCACCTTAACCACGTTTCGAAGGAGCTCTTCGATATCGTCGACATCAAGTCCAAAGAGTTGGAGTTGTTGATGGTGAAGGCGTAAAAGACGCATACAGGCCTCTACAGCTCTTTGTATGTCAACATTAGAGTGCACACACATCAAAACCTTGGAGTTCTTTACTTCGGACGATATATCGACGACATTTTCATTGTCGGTAGATCACGGACTGCATTACGACAGACATTTGGAAAGCTCAATGGAATGTGCCAGTCAATAAAGTTGACAGCCGAACGCCCTTCCCAGATGGTTTCAAGTTTCGATCAAGTAAGATTATTGGATGGTAAGTAACGAAATTAAAGAATTGGATCCCGACATCCTCATCCACGATCAGAATTAGCATCCTCTTATACATGAAAGTGAAGTAGTTCCGCATAGTTAAGACTCACACGAGCGTCCTGCGAATTCAACAATGGCAAGAGAATGGAAAACATCTTTGCGTGAAAAAGATGGTAGAATGGCAGCTCCAAAGTGGAGCTTACTCAATAATTTTGTTCCGTCCACTTGTTTAGGTTTACATCAGGACTTCGTTCGCGAAATCGATGTTCCGGCGTAGGAGACGATCACAGGCTATCATACAGGCCTGGTTTAATCGAACACCTATCAATTTAACGAAACGACTTTTAAACATCATGCGTCCGTATGAGAGTCGATGTGAAAGAAGATAATCTGTAGTATGGAGAATTAAGTGTGTACAAGAAAAATGTTGGTGTACAAGTGGTGTGCCGCTTCGTATCAAGAGTTTTACATGAGAGAAAATTAGCACTACAAAGAGAATGGGTGGACAGTAAGAGTTTTGACGGAGCCAACGCTACCCAGAGACCACTCGAGACTCGCACATAAGGCAGCCTCAAGAGACGGGCATTGCATCTTCATTCTAACCAACGTGTAGATAGCAGTTAAATGGAAGATCAGGGGACATGGGAAAGTAAAACCAAAACAACCACCATACAACAGCAAGAGGATGATGAAGTGGGAAATGGCCTAGATATCAATATAAGACGTGCACTAAGGAGACATACGTGACAATTTTAGATAGCCTGTACCGCCCTTGACAATCCCTTCACTACACTTTTTATTTTTTATCCCAAAAAAAAAGAAAGCTATACTGCCAAGTAGGAGGATTGCGAGGAATTGTTGTCTCCTTCTCCTTTAACACGTGTGGTGTTTATAGTTACATCTATTATGCCTGTAACATTGTAAGGGCAAATGCTGTGATTTAAGATCGAGTGACCTGAAGAAGGGCTTATGCCCGAAACGTTGTCACCTAATAAAGATTCAATGAAAAGAAGAGCTTCGCCGTTCTACTCACTACAGCAAGATTAAACACAATGAAGCTCAAGGAACCATCGATTCCGAATAATCGGAACCGTCCATTTAACTTATATATAGGGAAGTTTTCATGTAATTGAAATGAATGTAGAGGATCATTTACCTAATTCTGATTGAATAAAAATTTCTAGGGTTGATTATTCCGGAAGAGGCGAATTAGCTGAAAGGCAGCAGAAATTAGCTCAAATGATGAGCAGACTTCAGGTTAGTTTGATATCTTCAGTCTTTTCTTCAGACGTACAAAATCAAATCAGAACTCGGAAATCCAACACTGGACCACTCCAATGTCTGGGAAGGGTGGATCATTGAATGAACTTAGGATCTTTCTTTTTTTATGTTAAAGGCAAGGCAGATGATAGCGCTTCAAGTGGCTGTTAAATTTTCAAAAGATGGTGATTAATTTCGTATGAAACATAAGTACGTTACTCTCCATACTGCACTTCCTTAACACTTACAAGAACAGCAACTCTACATCGAGAGCTTTAGCTTTGGTTTTCCGAAGAACGTTGTTCTTGTTGTTTTAACATTGCACCACATATGCGCGTAGTTCGAATGCATCAAACCATGCTATCTAGCAATGATGACTGAGATACTTCAGAAAATCGCAGAAGAATATAACGTGGCAGTGTTCATCAGCAACCAGATGACAGCTGATCCCGGAGCTGGTATGACTTTCCAGGTAGAGCGACATCAGTTGTACCACTAACTTATTTATCTATTAGTCGGAAAACCACAAGGATGCAGTTCGATTGATCTATACATTGGTTCACTATTTCTTACGTATATTAGTGAAAGACAAACTGTACACTAACCTCCGAGGGTGCTCATTCCCATGCGCGACGTGAATGGGTCGGTAGCTCGACAGTAGCGTGCCACTTTCTTCGCTCAAAAGTGCACGAGAACGGGGCTGGAGGGTTGATACCCACCAGCCGTGGTCTCCCAAATCACTGGCGCTATCCTTAAATGCAGCACCTTTGTTGATAGCAGTATCATGCGGTGATTACGCAGTCAGAAGTAGTGAGTAACCACTAGTGAGAGAGACAAGCAGTACAGTTTGCTCATGCTAGGCGTGTGACCGGCTCTTTCGCAGCGCGAGTGGAATCTGGAAACGGCACCCAGATATCGCGAACCTTCAGCTCAATTCCCGTGCACCTTTGAGCTGAGGAAGTTGCACCTGCGAACCCATTCATCTTAGGTCCACGCAGCTGAGTGCACGGTCTGTCTTCAGGATAATAACAATATTTCCAGGTGGATCCGAAAAAGCCCATTGGAGGTCACATACTTGCTCATGCATCAACTACTCGTATCATGCTGAAGAAGGGTCGCGGAGAGACTCGTATTGCTAAGGTAATAGACATTTGGATAATGTGGTACGAGTAAGCACTGGTTGCGGAAAAGTGCTGTACCAGGTTAGTCGAGCCTGAACATCCTCTGTATATGGCTCCGCTAGCTGTTTCGATTTGCAGGCAATCCGTAAAGGCTATTACATCCTTCCGACACGAGTAGGAATAGAAAATGCAGTCATTTCTATTCATTAAGATATCAACTCACCGGCTCCGGCAAAAAAAATAACTAATAGCAAAAATAGGAAGCAATAGGCGGCACTCGGGGCGCGGCGTCCCCACTGGCCGCGACAACGCCCAACTTTCATTGCTAAAGGGTTTTAAGGTCTCTGCCACGATCTGTGCCAACTCTGCCACGATGAGGCTGCGTTACTCATCGAATGATGATGTAGCCAGTCTGATAACATCCGTTAAGCAAAATATTAAACAGGCTCACTGAAAAGTACTTGAGTAACTGCCCGTTCTCTCGATAATCGAAGTGATTGTAGATCTATGACAGCCCCGACATGCCAGAAAACGAGGCCACTTTCGCTATTACTAATGGAGGAATTGTTGATGCAAAGGAATAGATTGTAATAGCTGGTGACTGCTACGATGTTGTTGTTGATAATGACGGTTGAATTGCTTATATGTCTTGGTGTTGTCAAACTGTATATATGTAGTTTCTTGCTTGTTTGAAAGTTGTGAGGAAAGAAGTTGCTAATGTTCGTGTTTAAATTTTGCTCTTGTGAATAGAGGGTCTGTTTTTTCCTTATTTTTTTTGCCATGTGTTTGAAAGAATTTTTATTGTTCCAGAGTTTATGTTATACATTACAGGTGTTTTGTATTCTCTGGATGAAGTGTTGGTATTCAAACTTTCGATCTCGGAATTGTACATCTATTTATTGTTACATAAGCATGTCGACCAACAGAACGATAGTATAGGACTTGACATGAGCTTTTTCCCTTATTCAAAATCTTCTTTGTTATGCGTTTCTTTGTTTGCAATGTATTATAAATCCGATGTTATAATTGAGTGTTTGGTTTGGAATTTACCACTTGACAGAATTAAGACCCAGAACTAATCATGTCTGGCGCGTTGAGTAGAGCTAATTCTAATTGTGCAACCATGTACGCTTTGCTGTAGAACTTAAAGATACACTTCGCGATTACTGATGTGAAGAACCTCTTCCTTGCACGAGGTAATGCAGTCCGCAATAACAGAAGGTGTTCCGCTTTCATTGCATGGGGATGTGCCATATGATCAGGTTTCTCCTTAGCAGTCATGGGCCCTCCCGGTGCCAACGTATTTGGGGAGCGGGACCAGGCGGCAGGCTGATCTTCTGCGTCCTGCCCGCTGAAGACTAGTGTTTTCAAAAACCCACAATAGGTTCCACAGCCACTCGGTAACTCAATAGGCGAACAACCACCGTACCCCAAAGGAGCTGTAAATTGCACACCTACCACAGTATCTCTCGACAACAGCGTTGAAATTGCCTGGAGGATGTACGTGCTGCGATGCGAAAGAGATCCAATCCAAAGAATTAGACGATTGCCACGGGATTAAAACAGTTGCATGGAGTAGTATTCGTAAGACCGATAGGCCCTTTGGATGCTCCACTACATCATTTTTCCGTTTATAAATGTACTTGTAGAGTCCGGTTTCAGTGGCACTCATCAAAAATAGTCGGCGTTTGGGTCAGAATTTCGTATAACCTTGCAGCGGATCTTTAAAAATTGCTGAGGGATTTTGTTGAAGCATTTTCCAGATGAAAATGTCACGAGACTTCCCCGAAAATTGATTAAATTGGCAGAACAAAATAGTTTTATTCCACAGGTTCTTGGCCACTATTCCGTGATAAATGCCCTGCTCCTTTCCAGTTCTCGAGTAATGGTTTGAATGATCCTTCTTCTTCTTCTTCTTCTTCAGCGTTTGTCCCGCTCGATCGCGGGGTCCGCTCTTTTGATACAACTACACACTTTTCCCGATTGGCATGCACTGGATACGGGGTGGGAATGCCGCTATTTTTCAAGTCGGTATGCAACGTGTCGAGCCAGCGCTGTTTGGGACGCCCCTTTGGCCGCTTTCCTGGCACCTCGAATTCGAGAGCAGTTTTACGGACGGTGTCAGCTTAAGCTGTCGAAGCGACGTGCGTACCATCGAAGGCGCGTTTCACGCATTTTCTCCGCTATGGGGGCTACACCATACTTCTTGCGCACGACATCATTACAGATGCGGTCAGATCGCGTGACGCCGCCGTCAGCGCAGCGATCGTCATTCGCATCCACCAAGCGAGCTATCAAAACTTCTTTGTGCCTCGCGGGCCAGCACTCGGCACCCGATATACACGCCAACACCGTTCGGATGACAGTACGATTAGATCTTTGACTCACGCGTCTTGAGTTTTCTTGTCGCAAAAGATCCCAGAATGGATCGCCATTCTAGGGGGGGAAAAAAAACCGGCTGCCTTTATTTTGGGTGGTGTGTGGGGCCCGCCACTCACTCTGTGCCGCCTCACTTCCGACGTTGACACTGCTTATCGACGCAAGTGCTGATCCGAGATACGTTGAAGTGTTCGTCGTGCCACCGTGTCATCGATCTTAATGGAACCCGGCTCATTTGGGTCGGTTGTCAGGCACTCTGTCTTGTTGATGTTCAACCTTAGTCCAAACTTCGCCAGAACGCGCGGTCCGGATCAAGCTTGCCAGCGCTGCTTCATGCGCTCTTACTCCTTCGGCAGCGAACAGTGCACATCAATAAAGCAGGGTTCCAAGGCCACTTCGCTCTGAAAGATCTCGTGAGAGGCATGCCAGGACCGGGCAACGACAAAGAATTTGCGGGAGGAGCGCAGAGCCTTATGTATGTTTTTTTCCCCCGACGATGATGGGAAACTCCGTTAGACACCCACATATGATATTGGCTCCCTCGGGCATGAGTAAAGGATGCCACCCACTCAATTAGCTCTTCGGGCACGCCGTGCCGCCTCAAAGCGTACCATATAACATCACGCGGCACACGATCAAATGCCTTCTCCAGGTCTAAGAAAGCTACATGCACGGGCTTTCGCTTCTCACCGGTGTTTCGTGCTCGAGTAACAGGCGCGGCGGCCATGATGGGCGTGCGACCGGCGTGCTACAACCCGCCACGAAGCCACACTGATTGTTGGAAAGCTGGATGATATCACGGACGCGGGCGTCAACAATTCGCTCAAAGATCTTCATAGTGTGCGAGAGAAGTCGAATTGGACGGTAGTTCGAACCTGCCGGGCTGTCCTTCTTCTTCCATATCGGGATGCTGCCAGTCCTTGGGCACCTTCTTCTCCTCGACGATCTGGTTGAAGAGTTTCTCAACAGAACGCGCAGAAAACCAGCGTGTGACTTCCACAAATCAGCTGCTATGTCGTCCGGGCCTGTTACTTTGCCGGCCTTCATCTTCCTCAGAGCAGCTTCTGTTTCCTGTACAGTGATCTTCTGAACGGGACCATGGTGCGGTACAGGGTATAGCGGGATGGGCGAATTCCACCGTTGAGATGCCCTCGAAGTATTCACGCCAGTTGCAATACTCTTTTTCGGTTCATCAGAAGGTGGCCATTCTCATCACTTATGCCAAAAAACTTCTCAATGTCTTCGGTTTGGCGATGACGAGTTTTGGCAAGCCCGTACAGGTACCGCTCACCGTCGCGCGTCTCCAGCTTCTTGCTGATATCGTCAAAGTGAACGGCCTTCACAGCAGCCACGGCCGCCGCGCTCCCTCACCTTCCGATACTGCCGCCAGTTGTCAGCCGACTTGTGCTCGAAAAACGTGTGATAGAGCCTCTTTCTTTTCTCGGACCTTCGCTTTGACGTCGTCCGTCAGAGCCACGCCTCTTTGTTTCAATCCCTCCGCCGTTCCGCTTCGTCTGTGCCGAGTTTCGGACGCGGGCGGCACTGGAGTATATAGAACTTAACCTTTCGTTCCAGGTTTCCTAAACAGTTGTGACTTCAGGTAGTCGAATACGAGAAATCACAAATGCCTCCCGCTCTTTCAGTCGCTTCCACTTTATTCTTTCAGGACCGCATCTTTCTGCGTGCCTCCGCCTGGGAGCTACAAGTCTGAGCGTGCAGATCAGTGGGCGGTGCTGCGTGGCAACCGTTTCATACGGTACTACCTTGGCGTCTGTCACGAGTCCTTGGGTCGCCAAAATTTGGCCTAATCCCGGAACGCCTTGACAACAAAAGTCTATTGATGTTCTTAGTATCCGCCACTGTAGAACGTTGATGAGATGGCGGCTCACGTTTACGGGTCTGTGTTATAGATGACGAGGGTTATGCGATCTCTGGCATACGTCAGGAGTCGACTCGCCTCACCATCGGCGTTCCGTGAACCGTAACCGAATCCGCCATGACAAGCATAGCCGTCTTTTGCAGCGCCCACGTGTCCGTTTAGATCGCCGGCTACAATGATACCGTCTTTTGGTGGCACTTCAGCCGTTTCTCGTCCCAGGCAGAGCCGACTCCTGGACTCGGCATCCTTTTGAGCGCGAGGCGCATGTGGCATAGCAGAGAAGAAGTGGTAAAGTCGTTCGTTGCTCAATAGCGACAACAATCTTCATTAAACGGTCGTCGAAACGATCTACGCTCACAATCGTATCGCGAAATCGTCTCTTGCACGGCACAGAGGTCGATCTTTCTACGCTCTAGGCGTTCTGGCCTAACTTAACGACGTCCAGTCAGCCGTCTCCTACATTACAGCACGTCCTTTTGTACGCCTGCACAAATGCACTAATGCGCTGCCTTTCGCAAGTTGTGTGGACAGCTATTCAGAGCGCTGACGAGATCGTACTCTCCTCATGATTCAACGAGGACTGTCGCCGGCGGGTCAAGCTGCCGGTGCGTTTCCGCGGTGCCAAAAGTCTTTCTGCCACAGTGTTGGAAAACGGGAAATGCGCATTCACTGTACCATACCCTTCGTATTACTCGTTTTCTACCACTTTTTGTCGCATACGCGTTTCAACGGCGTGATGGTGAACCGCAAAACACTCTTTATCCTAAATAAAGGCTAGCCTTATGTATACCATTTGCCTAATTTCTAAAAGACGACCCGAACCAGCTCCGCGAAAATGCACGCTAAGTTCATAACGTTAATTAACGGGTGTTCTATATCGCTGCTGTCCACCACACACAGACGAGTGCGGATTACCGAACTTAACAGTACGAAGCAACGCGAAGGAGTTGAAGCGAGCTAGGCGACGCTTAATCATCTAATGGTTACACGCGTGTATTGGGCAGTGATAAAGGGGGTGAGTCCGTTGCTATGTTATGTCACAATCTCTTGATCAGGCCATAACCGAACTTCCATTTGAGCGATTCCACTATCCTATTCCTCACCATCAAAGAATTTCCCTTACAATGCGCCCATCTCAATCGTACATAGGTTGAGCGTTTGCGAAGTATGCGTGCCTTAATGGAAAATTCATCAGTAGACTCAAAACGGATAGTCCAAACTGTCCGGTATTCTACAGCCTCGTGAAGACCCATAAACTTAGCGCACACGATACGCTGTCAATATCCCCGGATACGTACAAAATACGTCCTATTATTAGCTGTGTGG